AGTGGGCATATACCATATGGAGAAGCATAAACGTGAATGCATTCCAGTAAGACTTTATTTATGGAAACTACATTTTAAATTTCCTATTATTTTCACATGTCACAAAATAGTATTTCTCCTTTAGATGTTGTTGCAACCATTCAAAAACATAAATACCATTCTTAGCTCAGGGGCCATAAGAAAACAGGTCGAGGCCAGATTTGCCCTAGAGGCTATACGTAGCTAGGTGACTGACCCCATTTGGCTAGGGCCAACATGTTCACAGTGGTTCTGTTTATCTGGGAAGTAAGACTAAGGATGCCTTTCCCTTTCTCTTCAAACCTTTCGGCACTGTCTGAATGTATCATCATGTATTTTATAATTAGAATACACAGGGAAACTGTGTTCACTTTGACATGGGCAGGGGACTGAGGAAAAGTGTCTACGGAGACACGGAGACTCTGAAACGCACTGAAAAAGTGACAGACCAGGTAACCACCAGATCAGCAATAAAAACTGTCAGCTAAGCCACAGATAACATTTTCAGTGGTCCCCACGATGCTCCAAAGTGGACAGAAACCATGTATCTATTTGAAAACGAGCCAATATGAGATGGAGAATCGAAACAGACTGAGAAACCGTACTGTGAAATGTGCCTGTTTCCGCACAAAAAAATAAAACTACACCACAATGAGCAGAAACACACACACAAAAAACTGAAAATTTTATATAAAGCACTTCTTCATCGTGTGTGCACGTCAGAAGGTTCATGTTTTCAGAATGTGTTCTATTCACTTAGCAGAAATGCACCCTGGAGATATAATTCATTATAAAATTCTTATCGCCAATTTTTGTCCAAGTATATGTAAAATTCTTCAGGGTTATAAAACAGATGTAACCGATGACATCCAGTCAGTATGTCCAGCTCTTAAAAAAATACACTCTACACCTACCCAGGTAGCTACACGTGTAATATTCAGCTTTGCAGGCACAATGTCATAAAGCCGTTCTAGCTGTCACCAATCCTGTAGAAAAACAATACGACAGGAAAAACACAAGTTCTGGTGTTTCTTGTTAACATTTACCGTATGATCCTAGGGTTAGAGATGACACTGCTAAATATTCATGTCAGAATACAAGGCAGGCATATCTTTCTAATTTTGAAAAGACTATATCTAAAGTATGGAAGAAAGGCAACCCAATTATCTTAATTCCTTCAAAGCAAGTGACTTTCAGTTTGCCCTCTGGTCCTTATATTCTTGTTCCTCCTGTAGATCTACGATAGCTCTCTGGTAATCAAATTTGTATTTCTTCCTCTTTTTTTGTAAATAAACAAAGTACTTTTAAACACATGCAAATATTTTTCAAGACAATATAACCATTAGAAAAGCCCACGGACAAGGAGCAGTCATCTCATAAAATGGTTAATTTTATGTTATGTGAATTATACCTCAATTTTTTTTAATGCAGGCAAACAAACAAGCAAACAAACAAAAAATCACACTGATTTAAAAGAAAATGTGGGGATGGGAAATATCCCTGACATAGCTCTAACTACCTGATGGCAAAGCTCTTTCATTCTTTTTGGATGACCTGTTGTTTTGAACTATCCCTGCCTCTTCTCCACCTCTTATTTACATGTATACTAGGCATCTTGTTTCATCTGTCTGATGACTTGGGAGTTTTCATCTACGAAATAAGAGTAAGAATGTTTTTCTTCGACTACACTGAGGAATTGTGAGAATTAAATCAGAGAGGTAAAAAGAAGGACAAGTACAAGTACGGGCAAGGGAGTGAAGAAACTGGAACCCTTTTTACATTACTCCTGGGCATGTGCTACAGCAGAGCTGCTGTGGAAACAGTCCAGCAGGTCCCTCCAAAAGTTAAACGAGTGGTTGCCACATGACTCAGCAATTCCGCTCCTATCCACATGCCCAAGAGAAATGAGAACATGTGTCTACACAAAAACTTGTGCACGGATGTTTACAGCGGCATCATTCAGCATAGCCCTAAAGTGGAAAGACCCACGTGTCCATCGAGTGATGAATGGACAAATTGTGGTACATCCAAAAAATGGAGTATTATTCGGCCGTGAAAATAAGGCACTGATAGATTCGACAACATGGATGAACCCTGAAAACAGAGATTATGCTAAGTGAAAGAAGCTAGTCACGAGAGACCACATACTAAATGACTCCATTGATATAAAATGTCTCTAACAGGCAAATCTATAAACACGGAAAGTAGATTCCCAGTTGCTTAGGGCTGGGAGTGTTGGTTGACAGGAGTGAATGGAGAGTGACAGCTGGCGAGTACAAGGGTTTTTTTCCGGAGATGCGAACGTTCTAAAATTAGATTTCAGTGGTGATGGTCCCACAACTCTGCATAAGCTGGAAAAAACTGAATTCTATATGTTAAATGGGTAAACTATGTATGTAAATCACATCTCGATAAAGTTGCTTTTTTAAATGTTTATTTAGTTTTATTTTGAGAGACAGAGAGACAGAGAGAGTGTGAGCAGGGGAGGGGCAGAGAGCGGGGGAGAGAGAGAATCCCAAGCAGGCTCCATACTGTCAGCACAGAGCCCCAAAGTGGGGCTTGATCTCATGGCTCATGAAATCACGACCTGAGCCAAAATCAAGAGTCGGACGCTCAGACGACTGAGCCACCCAGGCGCCCTCAATAAAGCTGCTTTTGAAAAAGAAAGAGTGGTCATCTCAAAGTGGGGAAGTTGAGGAGGAATAAGGGGGACAGCTGCTATTTTCCACTATAATCCCTCCGTGTAATGGCATGATTTCTAGCATGCTATTAACGTGGCTAAAAAATTGCTGGAAAAAGCACCTGCAAAACTGCGCAGACCGCACTGAATACACGTTCTTTCCTCATAAAGTCAGCCCGACAGAACCAATGTATGTTTCCCTAGAGGGCACCACGCAGGCAAAATAAACGAAGGCTCATACTGCCGCTGGGTAACAAGGAGCACCAGCATACACACATAAGTGCGAGGGAGCGGGTGTGAGTGTGTGTGGTTGTGTGTGCACGCGCACATATGAATCTCCCTCACACAGACATCAGGAAAATGTGTCCATCATGCAAAATTAAAAATACGTATCACGAGAGGCCTCCTGTTGGCGCGAACCGCACTTAGCACTGCAGGGACAGATGCAGACAGGGTTCCTGCTCTCCAGGGACTTGCCACCAAAGAGACAGACCAAGGACACCAATGCAACAGTGAGGCACAAAGTGAACTGGTAAATGGGCACAACGGAAGGAAGGATTTGCAGAGGCGGAAACTCTAGAGCTAAATCTCAAGAAGGAGCTGGACTTGCCCCCAGGTGCGTGGTGGGGGAGGGGCGGAGGACAGTGGGTTGGAGGGATGAAGTGAAGTTGAAGGGGTGTCCCTGACAAAATAAACAGAGGGACCTGGGAGGGGGAGGGCAGGTGGGGGCAGGGCCGGGAAGGGAAAGGGAAGTTAGATATCAGCCTGGAAATAAAAGGACACCTACGCACCTGTGGCACCTGCACTTGATCCTACAGGCAATAGGATCACATTTAACGAAGACCCATGATGAACTGAGAGCAGCCCAATAATAAGAAAAGCCATCTTATTAGCTAAGTAGACTATGGACCAGCAAAGAGGGCAGATGCCGGGGGAGAAGGGAAGAAGAGTGATGAGAAAACCAGTTAGGAGGCTGCTGCCATTTTGCTGGAAGGAGGTATTTTGAGAGGATCTGAGTTGAAGCAGAGGCGGCAGGAATGAGGGGTCAGATTTTAGAGCTGCTCCTAGACCGGAAGACACGTGCCTGACTGAAGAGAGATGGTGACACAACGGGTGATCCCAAGATTTCCAGAAAGGACTCTGTACCGACCAGGGTACAGGCAGAAATTGTTCACTGGTGGTGCTGTATTTCAGAGACACGAAGCCAGGAGCCTGACTTGGTTTGTCCCATCACAGCAGAGCCGAGAAGAAGAGTCTGGTGGACTTTCCTCGGTACGACGGACTCAGGAGCAAGGCAGCCTGTGTTTCAACCTAGCTCTCCCAGCTACTAGCTGCAGGTCTCCAAGCACATTATTAACCTTTCTGTCCCCAGTCTCTTCACCTGAAAAGAGGAGATAACAGTAAGATCTATTTCACGGGAGTAACATGTACTTTAAAGTAAGAGCCTTTAAAGTAAAAGCTCTTAGAAAAGAGCCTTGCGGGTATTCAACGCCCCATCAGAGCTGGCTGTTTCCACTAACATGTCTACACAGCTACGTATTATTTCCCTCCGTTTCATAAAATAAGAAACTGAGGCTCAGGAAAACCCTCTCTTACACTGCCAGTCAGAGGCAGGAACTTGTATCTGCCTGTCTTTGAAGACGATGCTATTGGCCCTGTGCTGTGCGGCTTCTGGAGCTGCTGACTCAATTGCGCTCCAAGAAGTACGTGGAATCCCCATGGCCAGTCCCCACTTGAAGAGCAGACTTGGTTTGGCCTGGAGTTTTCGAGAGCACCTACACAAAAAAGAGGGTGGTCGATGCATCAGTTTCAGAGACGAACAGAATCCTGCCTCAGGATGTGAGTGAGGATGCCACCTCCTCCGGGAGGCCTTCTCAGACCCCCCCAAGTCAGTGTTAGCTGGCGTCCATTCACTGCACAGCAAACTGTGTGTTCCCCCATTCTAAGCTATGCCACTACTGTGTAAGCGTCTCTCCCGTAATCTCTGCGTCCAACTTGTCTATAAGCCCTACGAGTTCAGGGGTCGTCCCTCTTATTCAGGGCAGTATCTTCAGCTTCGGGCAACAGCCTGGAACACTGAATGTGCTAATTAAATGTGTTGCATGAATGATTCCAAGTTCTAATCCTGCTTTTATATGTATTTGTGTCAAGCGGTTGTATTATATGGTTAACAAAGGCCACATTCCTTGGTCATCCTGGGATAGGAGATAAAAGTCCCCTTTCCAGTCGTACATTAATTGAACGTGGCAGAAACCACTGGCTACCTACTCACCAGCTCTTCCTTCTCCTATGAACAGGGCAGCAATGAACACGATTCTAAGGAATGTGCCATGAGCACTCGAAGCCAGCCATGGCACCTTAGCACAGACTGTCATAACAAAATACAGCCTGGATGGCAGAACAGAAACTTATTTCTCGGAGGCATGGAGGCTGGGAAGGCCAAGATCAAGGTGCTGATAAGGTAGGTTTCGTTCTGAGGCTTCTTCTCTTGGCTTCTAGCCAGCCCTGTCTCACTGCATGCTCACAAGACCTCTGTATTTGTGGAGGGAGAAAGGAAGAGGGAGAGAAAGAGACAGACAGACAGAGCGAGCACTCTGATGTCTCTTAAGGGCACTAATCTCGGCTCGAGGGCCCCAACCTCATGACTCCATCTAACCCTAACTATCCCCCCACCAAACCCCATCTCCAAATACTATCACATTGGGGGTTAGGACTCAACATACAAATGTGAGGGGATACAAACATTCAGCCTGTAACACATAGAAATCTCATTCCCTTTTGCCAAATACTACATTTCCCAGCCTGCCTTGCGACCAGGAATGGCCAAGTAATCCAGGCCTGGCCATCAGGACATAATGAGGAGTCTGCCAGGAGGCCTGGGGGAAAGAGTCTCCTAATACAAAGACTCCCTCTTATCTTCTCTTTTGGTTCCAGTACCAATTCCTATTGGGGTGGGGGGGGGTCTCCCACAGAGCACCAAGTAATTTTCCAGATACCAACAGGGTGCCCGAGAATTCATCTCAATTCTGACACTACCTAGAGAGAAGTTCAGATCCCACGGGTTAAGGGTTCGGTCCTGCAAGACTGGCCACTCCAGTTGAGATGCCAGTCACAAGGCCAGGTTATTACTGCCTGTGTTTCTGACCAAGCGGCTACAGATCGGAAGGTTCGAACAACCTCCTTGGGCTTGAGACACCAGCCACAAGTCCAGGTGTTAGCTGTACTTCTGACCAACGGGCTATAAAGCAGGGGTTCCCACAACCTCCTCCTCAGGTTCAGTTAATTTGCTAGAATGGCTCAGAGAACCCGGAAACAGTTTACCTACTAGATTCCTGGTTTATTATAAAAGGATGGAACTCAGGAACAGCCAAATGGAAGAGACGCATAGGGCACAGTAGGGGGAAAGGGGCCGGAGCCTCCACCCTCCCTCCAGGCACGCCACTCTCCCCAATCCCCAGATGCTCCCCAACCTGAAGCTCTCTGAATCGGGGTTTTATGGAGCCTTCAATACACAGGCATAACTGATGAAACAATGGGTCACTGTTGACGGATGTCCATCTCTAGCCCCTGCCCTTCCTGGTCAGCGGGGGGGGGGGGGGGGGGAGCTGCAAATGGAAGCTCCAACCCTCTGACCATAGGCTCACCCCACTCACAATCAGTCCCATCTTTTGGTGCTTTCCAAAGGTCACCTCATTAACATTACAAAAGATACGCTGACACTCTCAGGACTTAGGAAATCTGAAGAATCTGGGGAGCTGTGAGCCAAGAGTACGGGGTGAAAACCAAGAATATGTTTTTCTTACAAATCATAATATTGCATCCTCCCACCCTCTTCCTCCTGCCTTAAACACTGCTCTATGAGCACATGGCGTCTGGCACCATTCCCACCATCTCGTGATCACCCGCCAGTGACCACAAGGCCCACGTGTTAAAGATGACAGAACAGAAAACTTGAAGGTACCAGTGTCCTGGGCTATAATTATTAAGCCACTGTTCCGGAAGAACTTCCTTCTTCCGGGCAGCTTACGACGTGAGGAAAGTCACGTTTAAACCCACTGTTAAATGGGAATTGTTACACGTAGGAGGGTTTTTCAAACTCACACTGAGCAAAATGCATGAAACGCTTTAACACACACCAACTCTAATGGGATTCAGCCACCCAACCAGAATTGTAGACAGCGGGGATTTGCAATCAAGTGAACACAACACTCTTTCTATTCTGGAAGACACCAGTCGTTTTGGAAATATTAAAGAGTACCTACATCACCAGAGAGTTTCTGTTCCTCTCAAATTTTGTACCAAGGGGTCATACATAACATTGCAGGACAGAATAGCCAGAGTGAGAAATACAGATTACTTCCTTTAAGAAATAAGAGATTAAATCTCTTATTCATAAGAAACCTAAATAATAGACAAGAATCCAGAAACTGAAGGTGTGGTAATATCCAGCTTTTTTATCACTTGCAAATTATGTTAACAAGTGCAAAATTTCATATGTTAAGGAGAAAGAAAGGTCAGACAAGGAACATCACTCTTAAGATTCGACAATACTACACTGAGAAATGCGTTTTAAGTATTGGTTCCATTCCGTACGCTCTTTGAAAAATGGTTTGTCATGAGTTGACTCAAATGATGAAGTTAAACAAATCTCCAAAACTACTTGCAATTTTGTAGAATCGGCTTTTGTTGTTTTATTGTTATTGTTATGTGTGTTCTACCCTCTTGCCAATCAGTTTTCCATTAACATAAAACACTTCGATTCTGGCTAAAGAAGTCACATTTTGTCATTTAAAATTGCAGAGAACATCCTTACATGACGTTCTGTGTAACAACTCAGTGTTGCCATAACAGACATGAGACAAACTCAAACTTTTTCTGAGGCACCTAGAAGTGTCACAGGCAGCTTTTTTTATGCAACCCCTACATAATTTATATTTCAAGATGACAGGTTAAACCACACAATTGCTGTCTAAAAAAAAAAAAAGACTTAAATTACCCCAAACATCTCAAAATGCCTACAACTTCTTCCAAGAGTTCTCAGACTCTGTCCTTAAACGCATGTAAGTAAATATATTTAACTGAGAAGAAAATCCTACTTTGCTGAGGGGCGGGTAATTACCTCTCTAATTTTCCAGGCTGGCATCTCCTCGGAGACTCTAAACTCTACAGGTAGCCCTATGTTTAGTTCACCTTTAGAGAAGTCAGCCAAACCATGTTAGAGATCTTGGCTCTAAATAAACGTAGGTTAGGATAAAAAACAGCCTGAAAAAGGAGCTTCCTCTAGGGTTTCAGGTCTTAGGGTTCTGCCAACAGACGGTTCCAGGGTTGCGATTTAAGTCCCTTTGTGTCTTCAAAATCTCTCTTAAGAAGCCAGACTCCTTTTTCCCCTTACTCATTCATTCCTTCCTCTGCACCCAGCGCATTTCATCAGGAGCCAAAAATGTCAAACACTTCCATGGGTAAACAGAAATCTAGTGGCCTGTGTGTGTGTGTGTGTGTGTGTGTGTGTTTTAACGCGTGCTGTTATATTATGAGAGGTGACAATGTAATCTGCCTGAGGCACCTCTCTCTCCATCCATGCCAGGCAGGTCATTTTCTTTTTATCAGAAAGGAGAGCAGCTCATCGGGTTTTAGAGCATGTTGACACCAATGCTAATAAAAGCGAGATAAGAAGCGGCTGCCCTTAAGGTGCCGGAGCCTGTACCCGGCCTAAAACAGATACTTCACAGTTCCTGCACCGCAGCTGGAGCTGGAAAGTGATCTGACGCCACAGTGCCTTAACCGCACACACCTCAAGCAGGTAACAGGGTTGTTGTAAAGTGCCGCAGGGATAGCGGAGGCCCCTAACTCTAGCGATCACTCCGCTCTCCTCTGGGCGAGCAAGACAGTTCTTTTACGAAGGCAACGACGAATGAGGACCCTGACTTCCCAAAAAACCAGCAGAGGCATGGGATGCAAGCTGGTGCAGCCACTCTGGGTAACAGGATGGAGGTTCCTCAAAAAACTAAAAATGGAACTACCCTGCGGCCCAGCAATTGCACTACTAGGCATTTATCCACGGGATAGGGGTGTGCTGTTTCGAAGGGACCCATGCACCCCCAGGTTTATAGCAGCACTATCCACAATAGCCAAAGTATGGAAAGAGCCCAGATGTCCATCGATGGATGAATGGATAAAGAAAATGTGGTATCTATATACAATGGAGTATTGCTCGGCAATCAAAAAGAAGGAAATCTTGCCATTTGCAACTAACTACGTGGATGGAACTGGAGGGTATTAGGCTAAGCGAAATTAGTCAGAGAAAGACAAATATCATATGACTTCACTCATCAGGACTTCAAGACACAGAACAGATGAACATAAGGGAAGGGAAGCAAAAATAATATGAAAACAGGGAGGGGGACAAAACAGAAGAGACTCTTAAATATGGAGGACAGAGGGTTGCTGGAGGGGGTGTGGGAGGGGGGACGGGCTAAATGGGTAAGGGGCAGTAAGGAATCTACTCCTGAAATCATTGCTTCACTATATGCTAATTAATTTGGATGTAAATTTTAAAAAATAAACAATTAAATTAAAAGAAAAAAAAAACAAACCCAGCAGAGGCAGGAGCAAGATCCATGGTAAACCACGAGTCTGAAAAATAGTCCTAGCAAACTAAGAGACCCATTAATCAGTAGCTTTCAAACTTTTCAAGATTTAAATAATTAACTTGAAAGAACTCTTACCCAAAGGTATACGCATATAAAGTACACAAAAGGGGCCAAGCTCTTCTCAGGCGCCCAGCTCCCGCAGCAGAGCCCATGTGGCGCCCAGGTCCCAAGCGCGTGTGCAAATCACTGCACCAGACCCTACCAGCCATTCTGCCGTTTCAAGGGCAAAACGTGAGATTTTATTCTTCTTTCTCTCATTCTCTCTCCTTTCTTCTGCTCTTGACAGCCATTAGTTCCTCAGGATCACCTCTGACATGTAAAGTCCCCAGTGAGACCCCAAATTCACTTGCAGATAATCTAAGAAACAAACACACTAAAAGACTGGATACTTTCTACAACCTACCCTGACAAAGATTTACACACCTTTTCCAAAAGGTAATTTGGCAATATGCATCAAAGGGCCTTAAAAAAAAATCGTCCTGTCTTTTGACCTTATGTTCTCTTTCTAGGAATTTACTCATAAAAAAAATTTCCTAAAAAGTGCACGTCAGGATGTCTGAACAAACTTAAACACAGCATTATTTATGCTAATAAAGATAAGTGAAGGGGCACCTGGATGGCTCAGTCAGTGAAGCGCCCAACTCTTCATTTCGGCTCGGGTCACAATTTCACAGTTTGTGGAATCAAGACCTGCACCGGGCTCTGTGCTGTCAGTGCAGAGCCTGCTTGGGATTCTCTCTCTGTGTGTGTGTGTCTGTCTGTCTGTCTGTCTCTCTCTCTCTCTCTCTCTCTCTCTCTGCTCCTCCCTTGCTGTGCATGCTTTCTCTCTCTCAGAATAAATAAACTAAAATAAATAAATAAATAAATGAAATAAGCTAAATGGTCAACAAAAGGGGACTGTTAAGTAAATTAGTACAGATATGATGGCATCTCCTGTGCTTTGGCCCTACAATGCTTCTTTTTTTTTTTTAATTTTTTTTTAACGTTTATTTATTTTTGAGACAGAGAGAGACAGAGCATGAATGGAGGAGGGGCAGAGAGAGAGGGAGACACAGAATCGGAAGCAGGCTCCAGGCTCCAAGCCGTCAGCCCAGAGCCCGACGCGGGGCTCGAACCCACGGAACGCGAGATCGTGACCTGAGCTGAAGTCAGACGCTTAACCGACTGAGCCACCCAGGTGCCCCCTACAATGCTTCTAATATAATAAAATTATAAAAATAAAAATAAAAAAAAAACTGTGACAACTCTATATAGTACTATCTAGAAAATATCAATATAAATGGATTGATAGACAAATTACAAAATTTACTTACTGAACTGGAATACTAAATTTAGTACCACCTTCCTGGGCAGAAGACACATAGTATATGTTGTACCCTAAGAAAGGCAACATAAAAGTTTATCTGAGGCTAACTTGCTGGGAGACACTATATCCTGGCATTACCGTAATTACTGGGAAGTCAGTATAATACTTGTATTTTCTAACATGCTCATGCTCCACCCTCCTTTTCCCTTGACCATGACGTTGGTGACTTAAGGTGGGCCTACGGGAGGAAGTCCCACTAGAAATAATGGAAGACTTTCAAGAGCTCTTCCAAAGGTCTATGCCTGCTCTCATTAAAGTCCAACTCCATGATAAATTGTGTCTCTAAATATTTCCACAGACTACGCCACAACAGGCGATGACGTACTGTCTATTCGGTGCCAGATACTAAGACTACAACAGATGAATAGAAGCACGGACCTTGTCTTCGAGGCCCTCGCCAACCAGTCAAGCGAACAGATAAACAGGTATAGTGAGGTAAAAGCTAAGAAGTGTCTAAAACACTGAGGACGGGAAAAGCACAGAGTCTCAGAGGAAGAGGCATTTGCGGAAATGGCTTGCAAACGCTGTCATTTTCTCCCTCTCTGGGTGCCCCTGAGATGGGAAGAGAGGGGTCTGAGGAGAGAAGGACAGCTGGAAAGGCACTGAGGCTGGCGTCCTCAGGGAAGCCCCCCCCCCCCCCCCGTCACAACAGGAGGACCAGGCGTGAGGTGGCGGAGATGAGAGGGTGGGGGCAAGGGTCGGCCGCAGATAATAAATGACACTGAAACAAGAGGAACCTCATCTGGCAAGCCCAGGGGTCGGAATTTTAACACGCAGCCAGGAGTAAATCTCTGAGAAATTGTGAACAGCGGAGCGACACGGCCACTTCACACCTTGCAGGGTGGCAAGGAACAACCTGACAGGAGGGAAACAGCAGGCCGAGAGCCTAAGGAAATCCAAAGGGCCCGAACACAGGGCTGGCGCCAAGAAGAAGAGATGAGAGAAGGGAAGACGTGGGGACGGGGGCCAGGGCGTAGGAACCAACCGGATGAGGCGCGGGAGGGAGAAGCGCTGCCCTCCTTCTTCTGGAAGCCTCTCCTCAAGTCTTCCCAGCGCCCTCTCGCTCCTTCCCTCAGTCCGTCCTGTCTGCTGGAAAGAATCCTCCCCTGAGAGCTCTGCGCTGACATCCCAGGGGACGCCTGCCCTCCTACCCTGCTTCACTCCTCCTCAGAGCATTTAGAACCACCAACAGTAGACCCGTGTTTACGTGTTTATTTTCCGTCTCTCCCTGCAGCACTGGAGCTCCATGAAGACAGGGGCTGCCTGCCTGGTTCATGGCCGGATTCGGCAACTTAGGACAGGGCGTGGCACACAGGAAGGGCTCAAAAAATATTTGTTGAGTGAGGGCTCGACACTTGTCTGGAAGAGAAGGAAGGAGGGAGGGAGAAGGCAGGCAGGCCCCTCAGATTTGTGGTTTGAGTACCTGACTAACATGTCATGTTACCGAACTGACATCAGTGTACTGGGTGGGGCGGGGGGCGGGGAGGGAAGATGAGAGACGCCAAGACTGACTGTTTTGAGTTCTAGAATATTTCATCTGGCCAAGGATGGCACCGTGAGAAGTCATTAATAAATCCTTCCCACTTAAAAAAAAAAAAAAAAAAAAAGACAAAAGAGAAATCAAGGGGTAGCAGGGGAGGTCCTGGAGCAACTTTTCAAGCAGGGTCTCCTTTCTTGGGTGTTCCGAGTGCGAACATAATCTGAAGACCCTGACGCTGAGGGTGTTCGCTGACTCACCCAAGGTGGCCCAAGCTGGGAAATGGCAGAAGCCAAACGAAAATTCAAGTCTCCGGGCGCCCCCATCCACTACACAACAGTAGAAGCAAACCAGAGTTAGTGACCAGAACTTTTCATATACTTTAAGAATACTATTAAGCTTTCCCTCATCCTTCTCCACGTTGGGATGCTTTTGAATTCAGGGTTTCAAATCTATGAGAAAAGATGGCTTCCACTGCCATCATGTTCTGCATCTAGGAAACGTACTGCCTGAGACTGACCTCTGAAGTCTCTAAGACTTAGTCCTGGCCAATTACACTCGCTGTGTCGGAATTTCTTTACCATGAGGAGGACCAAAAGAAAAAAGTCTTAAATGAGATAATCACCATCCAGCGCTGCGCTATGCCCCCTTCGTTCTTTATTTGAAATTTCAATTCACGCCTCACAACTCGCATCAACGGACCTCCCCATCCCTTTGCAACATCCCACAAAGACCAGAATAAACGTTTCATCCTGTCAGCTAACCCCAGGTACCACCGGGCTCGCGTCTAGTCCCTTAAACCAATGGCCGGAAGCTGACAGAATATGCGAGACAAGACTGAGTTTAACTGGCAGAGGTGCTCAGATCTGCACTGTGCTATCTGAAACTCAGACCACAGGAGACAAGAGTGTACTTTTTTCACCGTGGCAACAGATTCAACCTCTTGGCCCTGCGGAAGCCATCTGAATAAATTTAACCAAAAGGAAAATGAAAAGAGAGAGCGAGAGAGCGAGAGCGAGAGAGAGAAAGGAAAGAAGAGGGAAAACTTCCTATCTTCTGATTGAGGATATATTCAGCACTCTGATTTTTTATGCACATTTGATCATGCTGCTGACAGCCTTGGAAGTTAAGTAATATGGACTGCTGCACAGAGGTTTCAAACCTTGATGGAAACCAATGGCAGGCTCCTTTTGACAGTCCAATAATGACAAGCACGTTGCAGGCCAATGCCCGTCATTCACCAACATCTCCAACCTGCTCCAACTGCTGCACAGCGACTAAGTGGAGGGTCAGAGGTTAAGCTCCAAGAAGCCAGCAATGAAGGGCAACTGTCATGCACCACTGCCTATTGTGAAGCAGCAAGGAGTGGCTGTCTCCTCCAGAACATGCAAAACGCTCTCATTCTGTCCAGGCAGAGACACATCTGAAGGTCCTAAATGAGACCATCGCCAATTCATGAAGCGCCAAACTGACAGCATGCCATTCAAGCTGTCTCCGATTTGACTTTTTTTCCTATTTCAAATCACAAATGCATGCAAAGTATACGGTTAAGCATAACTCCTCAGCCATGGTTTTAAGCAGGCTATGCTTTTCAACACATTCGTAGCCTCAGACACATACACAATCTCAGATCCTAAAAAAAGGAAAGAAAACACAAAATTAATTTATTCTTCAGGGAGTTTCTAATAAAGTATATAATGCCACATGGCACAGAAGAACCCAGTTGACAGTTTTCTAGGAAAGTTCACAAATTGTGTACCAAAGAAAATAACCTTAAAAAGGAATGATTTCATCTTATTACCATATAACCAGGAGAGCATAAGACTATAACTATATGTGCGGAATTTTATTTAATGAAAGCAAGAGAATTTTAAGTATGCGGTAATTTATCAATGCATTTTATAATTTTTTATGAGAATATCACTCACAGATTATTCAGAGTTTACATGTGACAGAAATACATCCTTCCATAATTCTAACTTTGAAATCTTCTTGTTTTTTCTGTAATGGAATGACATGATCCCACTCAGATGTGTGTGTTAATATATATTAACAAAGAGATTTCATCTTTATTGAGCAAAAAGAAATGTCTCATCTTATTTAGAAGCCTATGATTGTCACTAAAAGTGACCGGCTAGGATTAAGAATTAAGTTGGACAGGTCTTCTTATACCCTTTTCACCAACAATAGGATTTCTATCCACAAATAGAGCCATAAGTGGCCCTCATCAGAGACAGCCTTTAGCGGAATGAACTTGAAAACGAGCCTTCTATAAAGGTGTTGGTCTATACCAACTATGGCACTAAAGTCACTCTTTAAGCCCTGATCACTATCACCCACTCTTCCTTAAGTAAGCCTGGGGAGAGGAGATAACCTATCAACTATAAGGAACAAAGCCAGAACACCCCATCATTAAAGCCTGTACAGGCTGAGGTCAACTAATTGCCCTATGCTCTAGCAATAAGAAAGAACACAGCTAGTTTCTGACACAGAGATGGAGAAAACCAAACGCAAGTTATTTTAAGTAATGTATGAGCACGCATCAACCTGCCATTCCCAAGCAAAACCAGAAATTACGGTGTATAAACCCAGATTACTCTGCGTAGTTCTGATCAAGAAAAACCTCACAAGCCGCAAGTACTGATTCACATACTATTGGGACAACTACTTAAATAACACTGTTCAAAACAAAATAGCTAAGTGAGCATTCTGCAATGTAAGAGACTTGGGAAGAATGTGAATATGAAATGACGTCTCTTTCCTGAGGGATAATTTTAGGGGGAAAATTCTTTACTTCATATTCAGGCATATATGGCCCACGAAATCACAAAGACTGAATTCAGAGACAGGCACTTCTTCCCCAAATCCTTTTATTTTAGACCTGGCTTGCAAACATCAAAGCTTAATGTGAACCAATACAGGACAAATAAAAGAAAGTACTCCTTTTAGACACCCCTAGAATCTACTAATGCCATTCATATTCCTACGGGATAACACAGAACAAAAACTTAAATGGCTTCAAAAAACAGGCTAGCTGATTAATTAGTCCCAGACTCATAAAGGGTGACAAGAGGAAACCAAGAATTTAGGAGCGGCAGATCCCAAGAAAAATTTTGCGTGGCTGAGTCCAATGCTCGAATTATCACACTGGAGGAAAAAGAGGGTGTGGTGCCTAAATGCGTTCTGTCACCCTCAGATCCGAGAGCTTGGCTGAATTCCCTCCTCAGGCCTTCCTGCTCTGTGACTCTGCGTGAAGGGGTCCCCACTTGATCCTTTCGTGCAGATGACAAGAGAAGGAGAAGTTGGCTGGACATCAACCTGTGGTCATAAGATCCATCCTTCGCTTCCCCTCTTCAAAACATCCTGGAGGCAGGGGGGATGAGATAACGGCAGTTGGTAGGAATAAGGCGGGTGGGCACGTTCATTTCGAGGTAGAGCAGCACAGTTTTTCATGAACATTCAAAAGGAAGAGCCAACCCTCATATCCAGTCTCTCCAACCCAGGACACGGTAGATACTCACAAAATGTCTGAGGAATGAATTGATACATGAATACTCAATACCCCTTGTCAAACTTTCTACTCGGTTGATACGTAAGGGGAACGCACCAGAATAGCATTTTCTTGGAGAGAAACACTGGACACATATCCTGGAGAGATCAGGAGGACAACCACTGTGCTCCACCTTCCCCATTTATCCCAAATTTCACTATCTAAAAGGTTCTCCCACATGTATATATACATTCAGCAAGATTCAAAAAAAAAAAAAAAAAAAATGTTGCTACATTCAGTCAAATGTGATTTCAGTCAAATCAATGACTCCTGCTATTTCAGTGTTCCACAGATCAGTGGAGATGAACAGAATTCCCACAGTGGGAGTTGGGATGCAGAACGTGGTCTCAACAACTGGGCCTGGTAGTTGTTCCAGAAAGTCCCATTAGACCATTAGACGGAGACGAC